ATTTAGATTAGAAACTGCTGGATCATACTTACTACTGAGATCAGGTTATTAGGGTAAGCAAAGGATACTGCCTATGTACAATGTAGGCTTCCTTGGAGTTCATTCTTTGTGAAGAGTGCTAGTAGGTGAAACTTCTTCTCCAGTGGATTCTGTCTTATCAGCTTGAATAGGAACAACTAGCTTTGCCTTCTTTCTACGATCATGTTCCATAGGTGCAGAAGTTAGTTCTGAAGTAGTGTCAATGAGTGCTTTGTACTGTCTTTGCCGATGCTTCGTTTACGAGAATGTTGTACCCATGTTGGCAACATTCTCATTGAACCAGTTGGTTCAAAGGTTTCTGGTTCCTTGATTTGAAGGGGCTTGAACATCAGTTGTTGTGGTTCTGGGCTGTTAGCAGTCTTGGTGTACTGTTCAATTTGAACAAGCTCAGCAAATGCGGCATCATCAATTGCATCAGGATCTTGGCTGAAACCAAGAGTTGTTTCATAATCAGTTAGCAAAGGTTGCTTACCATGAGCTTTCACTTCCAGATTAAGTTCATGTTGAACTTTTTCTAGATTTTCAATTGTGGCTGCTTCTTCATTTGTGGAATGAACAACAGATATTGTATGTGCAGTTGTAGGTTGTGCAGCTTCATCTTCAACTTCAATTGCTTTCAAAATCCATATGAGCACATTGTTTGATGACAGTTCATTTGTTGGGCCCACTTTAACAAAGAAAGGTTTTGTTGAAATGAGTGCTGCTATTTCTCTAAAAGAAATTAACCTGTATGTAATGGATTATAAAGGTATTTAAGTGCCAAAAGATTTGCAGTTAATTTATTTATAATCTAAAATGAAAGTTAATGTAGCTAATTGAAAATAAGTTATGGTAAAGGCAAATCAATTTGCAAAAGTAATTTTAAAATTTAGTTAATTGATGAATTCTTACAGTGTTCTTAATGCTGCATATTTCAATTGCTGGCTTTCTGAAGAGTCTTTCTGTGTCATTGTTGAAAGAAGTGAATGTCATTGTACCAGTTTCATCTTTTGCTTCAAACTTGAAAGTTACTCTGATTATGGTAGATAAAATTAGTGAATAAGCAAGTTAAAGACTACAACTAAAATGGATTAGAGGTTAGGCTTATTACCTATAAGTAGAGTAACTATCTCCTTTTATGCAAGAAGGACAAGGAAAAGGAGTTCCTATACGAAGATTAGTTCGTTTACCGCAATTGACACAACCAACATATGCATAAACTTTGCTCAGGTTAGGTTCTGGAATAGTCACTTTGATCCAGAATGTTTCATCTTGCTCAACATTTCTAGGCTGTAAATGTGTTTAAGTATCAACCTTGGTTAGTAAGGTACAGTGATATTTGTAGCATGATATAAATGATAGATCAGTAGCAGTAGCTGATTATATATTTTGAAGGATAGCAACCTTTTTGTTCCTCAAATCTGCTATACTGATGATTGTTTTCTTAGCACTTAGATATTTGATATTCAAGACACTTGCTTGCCTATCCTGCAATACTTGTGGGTATAACTTGATCCTACATTAAAAATAAAGGATGACTAAGTATCCAGTGTGCATACAACTACTATTTAACAATGCAATGTGTAAAGTGTAAAAGAACTACCACTCGCGAAGCATATCTACTCTTGTTCCTTCTGGTTCGTGGATAATTCGAGTAGACATAGTAGTTGTCAAAGTAAATCCTGCACAATAGATTTGTATCCATAAATAAGCATATTATATGTTATATACTTTGATTTGTAATCTAAAGTTTTGATGATCAACCTCTTGCAGTCAAAGCTTTTAGAGCAGTGAATCCAACAATATTGAATGTTGCAGCCCAATTATTTAGTTCGTTGCAGGCATTGATGGTAAGATCATTCCACGTAGAAACTGTCACAGAATGATCTTGGCTGGTGCAAGGAGGAAAAAAAAAAGGTTAATGATATGTTGTATTTATTTATAAAGAATCAATACAGTTGCAATGAAATAAATGAATAGGTGAACCTTGAGTCAGTGATGACTATTTCACAAACAGGACTTTCACGGCCCCACGAATTGGGTATCATTCGCGCTTGTTCTTCAACAAAAAGGACTGTTGCAGCTACATCTAAATTACGGAAAAAGAAATTATATTGGAAAATTGTAAAAGCAATAATATATTGGAAATGAAATTATGTACTGATGTTGTTTAAGATATTACCATATCTAGCATCAGGTTCGGGTGCCCTTGGAATACTTGCTAGGGGCTGATATTTAGGCAATATAGGATCAATTTCAGCATCCAAGCGCTGCACAACAGTCTGATGTCCAATTGTCATTTGATATGGAAGTTCTTCCAAATTGATCTTGTATTGATCATCAACAGGAGAAATAGGTGCTTTAGAGATTTCATATTTTGCAGTTGTATGGAAAACATCGTGGTAAGCTTGTACTTGTTCTCCAAATAAAGCACAGCGCATCTTATTTTTCTGTTAAATATGTAAATCAAATATCATTAAAATCATTATCAATAAGTATTTTTCATCAAATATTAAAACTTGGTCTGTGTTTTTTTATTTATTGCTTCTTATTAATTCTAATTGTTGAGTTCATAATATTGTGAAATGAGGTGCGGATGATGTGGTTAATTCTTTTTTCCCCCTTTTTTTTTCCTTTTCCGTTTTTTGTCTTTCGTTTTGTAGATATAATTTAGAGTACAACCTTAGTAACACATGCTATGTACATGGAATTTGTATGAATATGTAAGTTTTTTTGTGAAAAATATAACCATAGAAATCATGCTACATATAACGATGCATCAAATCAAATATGTTTAAAATTTCTAGACTTATTGCATAATAGCCAGTAATCTTAAGGATATATATCAAATAACTTGAGGTTATCAAGATTTCAATGGAATACAAAATACAATAAACATATAAACTTGGTTATAGTTATGAGAAATTGATACCTTCTCATCTTCAAGGATCAATGTTTGATGTAGTGTCCCTGATTTTTTGGAAAAGGTTGTGCTCTACCTTTTTCAGCTACTGTAACCTTTACTCTATAATCTTTGCTCTGAGGAGTTAGTTCATCTAAGTATACTGGTTCCAACTTCATAGTGCACAAGTTTATGGTCAACTTAGTTGGATATGTTTTTGCAGAACTACAAATAAACAATAGGTTAGATTATGAATTACTGAAGCAGCTAAGAATCTGAACATGCCTGATGATTTAGAAAGGGGATAATATATTTGCATGTTACTGAGGTCCAATGGTGTAAGGGTGAAGGTTTTTGAAAGGAAAAGTAAAGCTAAAAGTACAGGAAATGATAAATTATCCCAGGAAGTGATAGATTATTCACAAAAGTGCTAAAAGATATATATATATATATATATATATATATATATATATATATATATATATATATATATATATATATATATATATATATATTTATATATATATATATCCAAAACTTTCAAGGAGATAGTATTATATTTTTGTCATTAATTGCATTATAATTGTTTACTTCACATGGATAATGCAAGTAGAGAAAGAATCATGTAACGCAAAGGTGCTTAAAATAGTGTAGACACTGAAGAAATATGTAGTGCATGTAGGAAACAGAATTTGAACTACTAACAAACTAAACTTTTAAAGAATATGGAAAACACATGATTCATGCAACTATGCAGATATGGTTGTAAGAGAATGAAAACAGAAAGCAAGGAATTTAATAGCATGGGGATCTTAGCATGGAAAGTTGTATAGCAGACATGTATAAAGAATAATTTGACATAAATGTGGATAATAAATAATTAACAGTGAAGCATATTCATGTCAAGTAGTTCAATTCAACGTGTAAAGTATCTATAAATGAAAAAGAAATTAATGGTAGACGATAGGAAGAAGACATACCTTTATTAAAGAAGAGTTATCAGTAGTAGAAGTGGTACTTTGAAAGCAATAAGTACTAAAGTATTTATAGGCAAAAAGAGGCTATTAAAGTCGGTGCTCTGTAGCAACAATTACTGTTGACTGTAGCAGCCATACTTAGTATGTCTAGTAATAGTAGTCTAGTACATGAGATGTAATTGCTTTACTTGTTTGATTGGTATTCTGTTTTTCTGCCAACACACGCTATTCCTTCTGCAATGTCTGACGATCTTAAAACACAAAACTGGAGGCTGAAGCTCACTTTCTATACATAGATGTTTTACTGTTGTATACTCTTATACCTGTTACCGGTTTACCCACCCTTCTTCAGAGTCATCATTCATCACAAACATGTCTTCCATTGTTAGTATTGAATGATGTGCAGCAAAATTATACAAGGGGTACTTGTAGTTACAAATGCTTTGTACTTGACAGAGAGTAGGTAATCTTCTAAAATTTGTTTATTTTTTGTGGATATAAAATAGATAAAGTACAAGATATAAATTAAAGTAAGAAAATTATCTAGCAAAAGTACTTATACTGTATACAAATTTTACAAATGTTATATCTATAGTTAATTTGACCATTCTTTATGTTGCTTGTAAAATAAGATATCTACAATTGTACTTGTATAATTCAATTTTTTTTTATTTTTTTTTAATCTTCTAACATAAAATTTAGCCATTCAATCTCAAAAAAACAATATAGCCTAGGCCATTGGATATAGCATTTTCTCATTGTGAGTTGCATGTAAATTGGGCCTAAGTCATACTGAAATTGTAGCCATTAGCTGAAAAATAAATAAAATAAGAAGGAACTCATTAAATACATTTTTTATATAAACATATTTGTATAAGCTACATGTACTTATCTGATTGAAACTGAAAATTTAAACTTCTAATCTGCACTAATACAAGCATTTGTTCCTATTTTACCTATACAATATTAATAATAGCTATGTAATCAAATACTCTTAGTCTGTAGAATACTTTTAAAAAGTACATTAGGTTCTTACCATAACAAGCTCCATACATTACAAGTTCAGACTATTTTTATTTACCTTATTGATAGCATTCTAACCTTTAGTCTGAGCAGAATCCAAAATCAAGAGACCCTACAATGTAAACCAAAAATTGTCAGAATTAATGAATTAATGTGTAAAGCAACATGACATTGAAATCAATAATTGAATGTAATTGCAAGCATATTTATTTGTGTTCGAAAGATAGGAAGATTACCTTAAAATTAAATAACCTTAACTATGGTGGAGAACATGATGAAGTACCAGTTCCATAACATATTAAATAATACCAGCTAATCGCAAAACTTCATATGACACTACATTTTTAACAACATTATGTGGATTTTGGTCAAAGCAAGAGATGTTCAACATACAATTGACCATGAAAGAAGCAAGAGCGAGGTAAGTATATTGACACTTGACTGAGAGTTTGTCCTTGAGACTTATTGATTGTCATTGCAAAACTCAACTTGATAGGGAATTGCTTCCGTTCAAACTAGAATGGATAATTAGTAGAACTTGAAGGCCTTAGATTAATTATATGAATGAAGACATGGTCTCCTTTATAATGTCCAATTGCAATTACACATTTGGAAAGAATCTTTTGCAAATAAGTCGAGTGCCATTACATAAGCCTGATGATGGTAAGATATTCCGTAGCAATATCACTGGGCAATTCTCTTTTAGTACAAGTTCGTGTGGACTCATACCTCCTGGACAGAGTTTATTCATAAACTCTGTGGGATATATACTGCACATATCATTTAGCATCATATCAAAACTCTTGTAAGTGACAATGTCACCAGGGAACTTGTCAACCATAACTGAATTGATAGAATCAACATCATCATTCATTGGAGTTAAAATTGCCCTTGTTATGAAAACATCATCCACAAAGCCACCTTGCATGATTTCAGGGAATGTCGTTTCTGTCAGATTAGTTATTAAGCTTGTGTCATCTTCAAGAGAATGTGCAACTTGAATTGGCAAATCAATTAATGCGATTTCAGTGGACTGTAATTGACCATTTCCCAAGGCAAGTAAGAAAGAGGAATATGCAGGATCTTCTCGTGCTCGAATATTTTCTGTATGTTTAAACTTTATGAATGTCTCCCATAAATGTGAAGTCACAATACTTGTCTCTACTGCCTCTTTCATTGTTTTTTGAGGAACAACTGGTAGAACTTGTTTGAAATCACCTCCAAAGAAAACTACCTTCCCACCAAAGGCAGCTGTTGTGTTACATATATCTTGTAATAGTAAATCGAGGGATTCAATATTTTGTTTTTTTGCCATTGAAGCTTCATCCCATATAATTAATGTGGTTTCCCTTAAAAGTGCTGCCAGACTACCCTGTTTAGGAACAACACATGCTAAGGATATATCACTGTCAAGAGGTATTTTAAACCTTGAATGACCTGTACGACCAGAGGGAATATTTGTTGCACCAATGCCTGAGGTTGCTATGGGCAATACAATTTTATTCATCAAGCAAATCTCTGCATACAAGGCATTATATAAGAAAGTTTTTCCCGTACCTCCAGGACCATCTATATATGAAAAAAGCACCTGATTTCCCTTTTGTGACAAATTCCATGATACATTTGAAAGCAGCATTCTGTGTAGAATTTAATCTAGATCAACAAGTAAGGAACTCCTCTGGAATAGGCGCATCAAGAGCATCTATAATACCCTTTGTTCTTCTGAAACCATCATCAACTTGGCTATTTAAATGATCTAAGCCAAATGTAGCTAATGATTTTCCCATTGCTTCAAGATGTTGTTCAAGAGACCTAACAGTCAGCTAATGGACTTTTTGCATATCATCTGGCTATCTGTAATGGAAATCCTAAGATAAGGAAGGGAAAATTTTGTTCCATAAACCAGATGGATCACTCACTTGACAAAATATGAGCATTGTTGCAAACAAACGGCGCAAGGCTACTGGTTGTTAAACTTCAAGAGCTTCAGTCAAAGCTAAATCTACTACATCATCTTCTTCTATCAAGCCTAATTTAAGAGCAGCCTCTTGAAAAGTAGGACAGACATAACCTGTAATACCCTGTATTTTTATACATATTTTAAATTAATAAGTATTTCTTGAAGTATTTAAACAATATGAAATAAATTATTTAGGGTTTCTTCAATACAAAAAGAATGATTTTAATTAAAAATATATTTTATTATTTAATAATCTTGAAAATATTGGATTTTATGATTTAAAATATTAGGGAACATTATTTTATATTAAATAATTTAAAGTCAAAGTTTTAAAGAAAGTCAAATCCTAATTTGATTAGGAAAGGGATTACTAAGGGAAGTAAGTAGGAGGATTGAGAGAGAGGGTATAAATACCCCTTATGTGCCTAGGGTGGAGTTCACCCAAAGGTAAATTCTCTCTCTCCTGTTATTTTATTTTCCCCTTAATTTTCCCCTTTCCCTTTACTTTATTAATTTAATTATTTATTGTTTAACCACCACACATGCCGGTCACCACCACCAACCTTCGCCGGTGGCAGCAGCCACCAGGCAGCGTGGCAACGGCGGCCAGGTGGTTGCATGTTGCGTATTCTCCGTTCGTAATTTTCTTAATCTCGATGTAATCACGATTAAATTCTAACTCGTCCGATTTTTACAAAAAAATAGTGTTTTTCGTGTGTAAACAATATTATAAACAAAACTCACTACATATGGTGGTGAGCACCACCCTTTCGTGGCAAAATTCGGCCTTTAAATATGGTTTTCGAGCAGTTTTTTATTTTAACGAAAGATATATGTTGTTTTTCTTATTTTAATTAAATCTACCCTAAATCCAATTGTTGTTTTTGGGTTTTGTGATGATTATTAGGATGTTTAATAACAAGTATTTTAATTATAAATTTCAAATTTTGGTTTTTAATTAAAAAGCCCCAAGATTGGAAACCCTAGGTTTCTAAATTAATGTTTATGGATGGAATTTGATTGTGGTTGATTGAAATTATTAAAATTAATGTTTTTAAACCAAATTGCAGCAATTTTATAAGTTTTATTAATGCTGGAATTTTTATATATAAGTCTAATTAAAGTCTCTTGAAAAGATCTTTAATTACCCATTTAATTGGGGAATAAAGTAAGGGTTTTAGATAAAAATTCAGATTATTTTAAAGGGGTTTTTGAGTGATTTAAAGAGAGTATATATTGCTGGAATTTTGTGTTAGAAGGGTATTAATACTCCTTTATAATTGTGGTTTGTAGAAGACTTCCAAGTGAGTGACTTTGTATAATCGTGGTTATTTTGAGATCGTATTCGAGGTACGTTCGCGTACTTGGTGAAGTTTAAGTGTATAGAAGCATACTAGGCTTTGTTAAATTAATTCCAAGTAGTATCATGATAGGTGTTGGATGAAATTTGTTGATTGGATTACTGTTGGTGAATGATTTGTGATGATGAATTATTTATGGTGATTTGGTGATTGGAATTAATTATATTGGCATGTTGATATTGAACCATACTTTTATTATTGGCATGTTAGAAAGCATGTTTGGTTAAACTGGATGTTTATCTTGGTTTGGATTATGGAAGAGGAATTTTATTATGGTTCATATAATTTTTGTTGATGCTATAAGCATGAGGAAAGAGCTATTTAAGTGTCTTAGTACACATGGATAAATTATATTGCGGTGCCTATGTGCACTTAAGGTGTTTCTAACACCAAGGGATAGGATTTGCGGTGCCTTATGCACTTAAGGTGTTATTTTAACACCGAGGTAGTTTAAAAAGGATTCCACACTAAATTTATGTGGTCACTAATTATTCAAGAATTTAAATTGGTATGTTTAATTGCTTGAGTGAATTGTAATGTTTGGTTGTGTTGTGTTTGAGAGTCATCACCAAGTCTAATAATTTGTAAATCACGTAAAGTGAAAGAAATTACACACCAAAACTCTTGGAACGTATATACCTTGAGTATGAACATATGGGGGGGGTTATGCGACTTTATATTTGACCATAACTCCTACTGGGGGTACAGGACGCTGTACTTTCCATTTTTATTATTTATTATGCGCAGGATCTAGTCACTTCATGTGACATTTGCCTACCCAGTTAGCTCCCGGTGTAGTTTACCTCAATTTATTTGAGGCAGGTAGTTGGTTGGAAACCCGTTCGATGTGTAATCAAAAAATTAAATAAATATTAGTTAGTAGTCGAGTCAAATGATGAATGTTGTGTGCTTGTAAACAGGTGCATCGAGGTAAGTTGTATGTTGATAAGATGAAAGCATGTTAGTGTGTGCTAATTACGCTTATGTACTCAGCTTTGCTGATTATGTGTATTGTGTGTTTGTCTTGCCTTGTCTTTACCTTGGCCCTACGATAACCCATTTCTGATGGCGAGTAGTGGGGAAAAGTAGAGAGAAGCTTTTCAGGTGATGAAGCATACTCATGATGGGCCTGAGTGAAGAGGGAATCATGCTTAGTTCTCATAAGAATATGATGTGTTATTGCTTTGAATTGTTATTATTATTTATGTTGATTGTGAGACTAATGCAAAAGGATTTTCAAGTGTTTTGGTTTAAGGGCCTACAATGGTTCCAAGTTGTATTTTGTCTTTGTTTGACTTTTATTTTTGTTGGTTTGACTTTTAAAGTTGACTTGATTTTAAATAGTTTTAAAGGTAGTCTTCCGCTGTGTGTCTTTGATAATTGCCTTAGCCGTTTTCACGGTGGCGGTAATGTCTTAGATTTTCCTTTTTCGTATTTTAAAAAAGGCAAAACAAGTAATTTTAAAGGGAAGGAATTTCTAGGGTGTTACATAACCATTTAAAGTTCGTAAATTCTCAAAAGATGTAGGACTTCTAACGTTCAACAATAAAAGGCGCAAGAAAAAACGTTCACCTTCTGCAGGGTATACAAAAGCCAATCTTCCTAGTGCATATCTGTTTATAACCCTGTCAGTCCATACTTTAGCCTTTGCATCCCATATTAAATGTTCACAGAATTCACTGTATAGATAACCAGTACCACTTTCTACTGCAGCATTCATTGCAAAGAATTCAGTTAGCTGAGTCCTTGAACGCTTAGAGTCAGAAATAACAGTGTTTAACCTCTCATGCGACCAAAGATGAACTGTTTGCATATTGGGAAGATGAACTTGTAAAGGTAATACTGATGGAGAAATCTTAAACAAATCAAAACTAAATATTTGCCAAGCAGCTTCACATGGAGAAACCCATCTTCCTGACTGATATTGTTCAATTTCATCTACAGAATCATCATTAGCAGGGTGAACATTATAAGAAATCCTGTCATGTCCCTTGTAAACATATTTATAGAGATATTTTACTGCCTTGACCGTAGAGCAAGCTTCGACATTAATATGAGAATCAAACAACATAGACAAATAAGGATTGTAAGGAATCACCCATTGGTTGTTTAGCTGTGCACCACGAATAGTGACATTTTCCCCAGTATTTCTTCTTCAGTATATAGGATAACCATCTTTATTTGTACTTGTTTCAGATGCATATGGTCTAGGGAATTTATTCTTACAGTTTAGCTGTTGCCCTTTTTTCCGCATACATGGACAATGCGAATTTAATGAGCCACATGGACCATGCATCATGTGTGCTAGAACAATCCTCCGAAGAATAGGGTTAGAAGTATATGGAATTTCAACACATATAAATTTATCATAATCAGCAAGGCACTTCAGCTTGAATTCTGGTCTTAAGATTATCAAGAAATGAGCATGTGGAAGGCCTCGTTTTTTAAACTCTACAACATACACCATAGCTACAACCGTACCAAATACCTTTTTCTCCATAATTTCTCTTTTCAATGCAAGTAGTTTTATTCTAAAGATCCGTGCTACTAAATCAGGACGATCTTGGGCTGCTTTACCAGGTGCTAATTCGGACTTTATTTCTGGCCAGTTAGCATTACATGTCATTGTGACAAACAAATTAGGCTTACCAAATCTTTGCACCAAAGCCATGGCATTAAGATACCGTTTTTTCATATCCTGAGGACCTCCTATGAAACTTGGAGGCAGGATTACTCTTCGACCAACACTGTGCACTTTAGTTTCTCCACTATCTAGAGAATCAAGGATTCCTTGATATAAATCAGCTCTAATGGTTGACTGGTTATTGCGCAGATAGTCAAGCCTTGTATTCTCTATCTTGACATACATGTCAACAATGTATTGTTGTAAACATCTACCAACTCTCAGCAAGAAATTGTTAGGCCGTATTTGCAATCTATATGCATAATATTCTCTTGGAGAAATGAATTTATCAGCACGCGTATGCTTCTTCTTTGCCTCTATAAATTGTAAATGCATGTTTTTAAGTATTATAATATAATAATACACTTGAACATAAATATAATCGTGTACTTACGTATTTCTTCCTGACTCAATAAGTCTTCAACACTGTGGACAGCGCATGACATTATTGGATCAGGGTATAAACTTGCCTGCCTTCTGTCAGCATGAGATGTTTTCTTTAGCCCTTGCATCCAATCGCATTCTCCACAAGGAAATAACAATGGATATTGTAATGGTTCATAACACCCATAGTTGTGGTAGATTCGATGAGATTCACAAGACTTACCAGATACAAGTATGTGAGGGCTTAAAGTATCACTTGATGAAGCACTGTCTGGCCAAATCACAGCAACATCATCAACAGCTGAGGCATTGTACACACGTTGATCATATACTGTATTTATATTCAATACAATACGTGTGTCTTCAGCTACATCTCTTTCTTTTAAAGAATGGAAAAATGCAGCATATGGATTCTGCTGAGAAACACTCATAAGAATATCAATTATATCTTGCCTTAATTCTAGAAAAGACCCAACCCTATTCTCAGTTTCATGTTGGCCATCATAGAAATAAGTTGCAAGTGTTTAGGTGGCCCATCATCAGGTAATAAATCAGGTACAAAATGATATAGTTGGCCATGCAACTTGAACGCATAAATGCCCTTGTATGTACTTGCATCAAAGTTTCCACCTATGGAACTAAATGCAAATAGATTATTATATAACCGAGCATACTTTTGAAAGTGTACACCATCTTCTTCCAGTGATGTGAATAAGCGAATAAGTTCAGGAGGGTACTCATTTACAGCTAGTTGGATATCTCCATCACCACAGCAGAAATGGACAGTCTCACTTTCAAATTTTTTTGCAAAGCATTTTAAACAATAATGAGGTGCACACAAAGTATGTGACTTTTTGGGTAGCGGCTGACCAATCATTGCTGCAGGTATACCTATGTACAATACAAGATATAAATGGAAGTACATAAAAGCTTCGAAGATACAAAACAAGACAAAGTAGCTGTAATTTTAAAACATACATTTTTCTTTCTGTTTTGGAGCTTTTTTTTACTACCTTCTTAGCCACAGTAATACCTTTTCCACTACAAGGTAATCAAAGACACCTAATATATAATTAGTCTAAATATCATTACATTTGATATTATATACACATACCTCTTTGCATGTACGCTTCCATTTTTTTTAGTGCAACGATTACGTTTAGTCAACTGCGTCTGAGATGTGCTACCAATTTCTTGTTCACTGCATATATGCAAAGGCAATAAGAACAATAAATTTTAAAACCAATTTTAAAATATCCCTTCTTCTGCTCTTCCTCCATCCCTGAGATGTCGAAAAGAGAGGAAAGGAAGTGAAGCTGAAGGCTATGATTCTAATTCTAATCAGTACATAAAGTAGCTGTAGTAAATTACAAATGGACAATGGTATGCAGAATTTGCAAATGCAAAATAAACAACATGCACAGTAATCTGGTTAAGTCTATAGGAAAATATTGACAGATTTTGAATGCAAGTACATCTCTGAATTATGATTAGCCTTTAACTTATAAGTAAATATTAGACACAGAACTTTAACTAACAACAATAATATACCTATATCTGTAAAATTCAGATGATTCTTCAATTAAACGTCTTCTTTTAGACACTCTTCGAATAAGCTGAATTGAATCATGTACTAATGGACTATATGTAGAAGTTAAATTGATGTAGTCAATATGAAACATAGAACTAATTGTAATGTGAATACTACTCATTGTTTCAGTACCTAATAGATGATGATTCAGATGACTGATGTGCAACCTGATTTAATCGCTGACAACTCTTACGAGATAACCGTGGTATTCCAGAATGATAATCTACCATACAAAAGGAAGTTCCAATAAAAGGTTTACATTATTCATATCAGTATTGTTCGTTAGTATAAAATTATTGATATAATGAGGGCAAACATTTAAAGGACACAAAGAACTACCCATTATAATGTAACTCTGCAAAGCGATTACTGAAAAGGCAATTAAGCTATTTACAATAACCTAACAACCATAAATGATTTTAGTACTTTATCACCTGCTAACATCAATGAATATAATTTCAAACAATAAACAAACATCATTAAATATCAAGGGCACAAGTACAAAACATAGTGAATAAGTACTTTTTCATATAATTAAGGAAATGATTACATGATTTCAGAGCATGCTCTGTGTACTACTTCCTAAGCAAAATAGGCTTCCCTTTGCAAAAGGTAACATTACATTAAGTACACCAACCTTCCAAAAAAAGCAAAATACATTCTAAAGCCATTGAAGTACAGCAATACATCTAATATCAAAAATAAGCTAAAAAGAGCTAAAGCTTATTCTAAAGCCATTGAAGTACAGCAACGACACAACACAGGAACATAAATCTAATCTAACTTAGGCTTTTTAAAAAGTGTTTCTAATTCAGGAATATCAGCCACCAGGCCTTCAAATGTTCCAATTCTCAAGGCTGTTGAGCGATAAACATTGTCAACATTGTTGCGGTTGACTGGACAAGGAGGAGGTACTTCACTAACATGGATCTTTGCTGCATCATCTGTTAGAGTGACACATTCAGCATTGGCAACAATACCTAAAGGCTCATATTGTCTAGATTGTTTTCCTAGACAATCAAGATGTTCTTTTAAAATGAAATACTTCTTTTGAACCAAAGAGCATTCTTCACTTACTTTATCTACAGTACCATAGTTAGCATCAACTATTTCTAAATTATATTGGCAGGCAATGTAAAACACTGCTCTCTTTGCCACCTTTTGTTGAGCAATGGCTGCTGTCAGACAAGGTTCGCTAAAAATACACTCCTTCCTCATGTTAGTAGGTGGACAACTCACCACAACCCAGGTTATGTAACCATGGCCATCTTCCCAAGTATTTTCAACAGCAGTTGCACAAGCACCAGTTTTCTTGACAACAACACCTAGTAATTGTGTACAGTCAAGTGAAACATCAGCATAGTCCAATGCTTAATGTGTTCCAGAGTCAACTCTCCCAGCAGGCCTACATGACCCCCTCTTCTCTTGTACTAATTCAGCACATTTGTGCTTATAAAGCCTAGCACAGAGCTGATACATTTTAATTCTATCGTAAGTGAAATCAGCTACTTGAACTCCAAACCTAGAAATCAATCTCTGCACAGCTTTATGCGCTGCCCTCTCACGAGATTCATCAGCTGAATCAGCCTCTCCACCGTAAAACAGAAACCCAAACCAACTATTTGGTCGATTCACTCGCACACAAGCATTGTGCTTAGCTACATCTATGAAGCCATAAACTGGTTTTGACAATTTCAACCAAGCAGTTATCTTTTCCAGAAGAGGCTGGAATGGAATGAAAACTTTGCGTGGTGCTATAGCCATAACCTGTAACGGGAATAACCACGTTAAGGACTATGAGTAAACAATGAATGACCCTTTTCATCATGGCTTTTTCAAAAGCATAAACTACACAAAGAAACTTATACAAAAGCAAAGTAAAACCAAAACCTTAACCCCTTCCCTCTAAAAAAAGAACTAAACAATAAAAAAGCAGAAAACAAAATAAGCTGAAAAGAATGTTTATCAAAATTTTTATTCAAACCATTTGCTTTTATATACATAGATATACAAAATAGGTAGATAATAAGACCAGTAATTACATAATTTCAACCTTAACATCATTCATGATAACAATCTAAGTGAATTTACCCATGCATCATAACAGTGAACATACAACACAGTCTACTAAAGCAAAAGTAAATGGGAATTTGTACAGGGAACAGACCAGTCATAAATAAAAGATACTCAGAATCAGTCAAAATACACAAATGAAGCCTTTTAGAACTGTAAAAAGAACACATACCAAATAAGAATCACACTACAATGATAGAATAACAACTCCCGCACAAACCCCTGCCGTGTAAAGAAGAAACAATAATCAGCTACTTATTAATCAAAATTGCAACAACAACACAATCTAACAGTATTTTCTGTTGAATGTATGGATTTTTTATTATATTCAAGTGATTTGTACTTCCAGATTTGTCCAATTAGGATAATGCACTGGTCAAGATAACAAAAGTAGAGATTTGAACTAAGTGATGTTTAATGTCTGAATTTGCAAGTATTATCCAAGAAATCAAAGCATATGACATAGAATCAGCTTCTAGTTCGGTGCAAAATACAAGCACTTACAAATGGAACGTTGTCTGAAACTAAATCCTGATCTACCAGAAACCACAATAGAAACATGCACAAGCTCATCAAACACCAAGCATCTATATATATATACAAAGAGTAAATTCCCAACCCTAACAACACTGCCTTAATTATTTTTTTTTAATAAAAAAAATCTAATTCAATCAAAGTAATCGTACAACAGTTCTACTACCTAAGTCACCTACTCTGATAATAGGCAACACTAAAACAAAGCAAGAAAATATGGAGTTTGCAACTTGGGTCCACCGATAAGAAACACAATGCTAGCTAACTTAACAAGACTAACGAAGGCCAAATTATAAATAAATCTAAAATTAAACCAAAACATGAACTATACCCAAATAACAAATACAACAATGAAATCCATGTACACAAACCTCGTGACTTACGCGGTTGCCTGAGCCTCCGCCACCATTCCTGTAGCAATTTCTGGCAACCTAAGAGCAGCACCACCGCCATGGCAACAAAAAAAATTTCCATTCTTCTGAAGACACCTCCCTACCTAACCCAGACATTTTGGTTGTGCAAAAAAAATCGTTGCGTAATAATAAAAAGGAATTTTTGTAAATTACCACCCAAAAAACAGTCCACTTTTGATATAACCACCCAAATAATTTTTTTTTTTAAAATTACAACCCAATAAATTAAAATATTGCTCAGATTACCACCCATTTAGCAATTCCGGTGAAATTTACGTTTGTGGACCCCACCCAATGACTAGTAACGGCTAGTTTTTGCTTTGAAAATCACTTCTTCCTCGATTTTTTCCAATAAAACTCATCCCTTAAATTATAAACCATTTTCTTCTTCAATTTTCTCAGAATTTCACCAAAAACGCTTCTCCTAATTGCAGACGCACTCCAAGACAGACTACAACTAATTTGCGCATCAGGTATGTTAATTTCTTTGTTAAATTAGGGTTCCTGTTATGGTGAAATTGGGGAAAAAATTGAGGAATCGTAAATTAGGGTTCTTATTGCCCTGTAATTGGGGAAAATTGGGGGCTAAGTTAGTTAGGGTTCTTGTTCGAAGCATGAATTATTTGTGCTATTTCAACAATTAGGGTACCTGGTATTATTCAATTAGGGTTTCTATGATTGATTGTTAGTTAGCTTAGGTGTAATTGAGTTTTGCACGAATTTGGTGGCGATTTTTGGCGCTTGGTGGCTCAACTGCGGGCTGAAGGTGGAACGGTGGTGGCGATTTGGTGCGGTAATGGCGATTTGGAACGAAGGAGGC